TACATGGTAATGCATCTGGTGCTCAGACGGAAAAAAGAGTGATGGTGACTAATGAGTGATCGTGCCCAGGTATCCCTTCCATCTTCGACCGAAGAACAGACAGGCGTTTCAGTATGTGCGGATGGCGGTCGATATGGTCAATGATCTGGAGCTGGATGTAGATCCTGGTGTTGATGAGCTCACTGGCCCGAGAGGTCCAAGTCCGCAAAGATTGGAGGAGATCAGAACTTATTTGGCTACGTATTATGTTGCGTCAAAGTAGGTGTCATTCACTGCCAGGCATCTCGTTACGCAGTTGTCTAACACACAATACTAGCTTCGCGACATCATGGAACCGCACACCGTCCATGTCCTTCACTAGCTATACCTCCAAATGCTGCGACGTCCTCGAGAAGTACAGCATAACTAAGGGAGATCGCATCCTCCCCTGGCTAGTTCGTCTCCAACAGCTCTGCGAAGAAACAAACGATCTACGTAAGCCGCAAAGGGGTGCGGGTGGTCTTCCACAACCAACCGAGAGCCAGATCGAGATGATCATCAAAGGCATGGAAGCCCAACTAAACGAATGGGAAGTCAAGATGCCTTCTGATCTTCAATCAATACGTACGTTTTCAGTTTCCCCTTCACTTTCCTTCCTTTCCCTTCATTCCAGCCACATTGCCTTCATAACTGACATCCACCTTACGTATTAGCCTCAATCCGCATAACAACTCTCTTCACCCGTCTCTTCCTCACAGGCGCCCCCTTACTCAAGTTGCCCTCCGTCAAGCTTCCAGGGTTAGAAAAAGACCCACCTTCCTTCCGGGTTGACGGGAGCCGGCTTCTCAACCTGATCCCCACCCTCCACCAGAACTACGAGTACTTTTTATCACTTTCGGCACACGAAATCAACGCCTTCTCCATGATCGGCTGGGGGTGTCTCATTTTGAGCACCATCTTGGGGTTCCGCATGAGTTTCCCCATCATGTTTTGTCCTGAGTGGGATGATTATGCGGCGAGGAGGGTGGTGAAGTTTGGAGGGTTTCTGGATCGGTTGTGTCGGTTGGGTACTTCTATCTCGTCAACCTCTGAAAAGATGGATAAAGATAGTAGGAATGGCCTCACCCCCGCGACGATGCCGACAACTAAGGGGATGGATGTGTTGAGTGCCAGCAAGGTTGTCTTTGCGGTATTGAACAGGAAGTTTAAGAATCGAGTTGCGAGGATGGAGGGGGCTGGAACGGGTAGAGGGAAGAATAAGGATACGAGGATGGGCGATGTTGGTGTTGTTACGGGTGTGAGTGTTTGTCCTGTCACTGGGAAGGCGGTTGGTGAGGAAGGGAATCCTCATAATCATGTTCCTTTGAAGCAGGGGGAGCATCATCAAGTACACCCTCAACAATTACCACTAACTCAGCAGCAACAGCACGACCAATATCGACACCTCCAAACATCAACACTACCAACACAGTCCACCACCACCCGCCACCACCAGCATTCCCAAAGTCAACAAGAAGTCCTAGACATCCGCATGGACCTTTCCTGCTCCATGCTCCCTCTCGAAATAGACAGCTTACAGGGACAAGCACCCATGCCTACCCTACATATCCCCTCAACAAACGTGTCCGGATGTCCAATGATGGACGGCAGTTTGGAGCCCTATTACCCCTATTGGAACGAGACGTTTGCTTTTAACTCTACATTTACTGGGCTCGGGGGAAGTCCGAGTGTGAATAGTCTTGGTAGTAGTGGTAGTGGTGGTAGTATTGATACGACAAGGAATGAGATTGCAAGTGAACAACAGATCTCGGTTGAGGGGAGTGGTAATGTGCCGCCGGGGGTAATGCCAGGGATGGGGTCGGGAACGGGTGGTATGACTATCAATATGGGGATGGGAGCAGGCATGGGAATGGGGTATAATGATCTCTGGGCTGCAATGACTATGGATTGGGCTGCTGATGGTGGTGTTGAAGATTGGACTTGAGCGGAAGTGTTTTGCTTGCACAATGACTGATGAATTGCTGGATCTCTTCCTTTTATTCTTTGTTTTCATGTTGATGGGTAATTTGTGCTCAATCTTGAACTGTCCGTGAGAGAAAATAGAGATATTGTGACGATGAGAAGAGACAGTGAAACACTTGTCCTGTGACAGGAAGCTCGAAACACGCAAGTCTAGGGAAACCAAGTACCCTCGCCTGCACACGTATCCTTACGCCCAGGTTTGTGATACCATTCACAAGCCAATCCATCCCCCAGATACCATGGATGATACCGCCTTGCTTTTGCATACCTAGGTACTCTATACGTCCCAATCTGCCCAGCCGAATTCAGAACCTATCCAAACCTACCCTACATGATTCGAACAAACTCGGAACGGATAAGCATATAACATGTGATTTTTTCTTCCCACAGGTAGCTCAACCGGGCTCAACCACTACATATCGCCGTGCCTCCTGTTGGTTTCCTTCCCCTGTGCCCGAGTCAGAGTCTGGTTGGCCGCAGTTCGCATGAGCCGGTGAAGTTTTTTTGGGGCCAGTGGGATGCGCATGTGGACTTTAGTCGACAACAGAAGATAACGCGTTTGATTCTGCGCATTGGCAGGTATGTAGAGGTGGTCTTTCTTTCTTTCTATTTTTCTTTTGTCCCTTCCACCCCTTGATTTTTTTTTAATTTTCTTTTTGTTTTTCTTTCATTCAATCTCAGTAGACTGATGGACCGCCAACAGAGTCCAACCGAGTTGAAAACGGACCTATCTACCTCTATGTACCTTCTATGTTGATGTAATTCACTCACCTTTACTACTACTCATTTGACTCCCCTCCTGAATTTTGGTATCCCCCACGGCTAAGTAGGTACGTTCCTTCTCTAACCGCGTGCCTCCACACATTGTCCCGTTGTGCCTGCCTGCCGGGATCGAATGTGAACCTCGGTCTGCAAGTTCGTGTAGCACAATGATGATTTCACCTGATTAGACAGGCGGAGTGCAGTGACGTCGGCCGGTTCCGTTGGAGGGACTCCGATGACCCCGCTTTGGTGGCTTTTAGTTTTCTTTCTCTTCAAAGCGAGGGTGGGTTGACGGGAGTTATCTGATAGATATCGAGAAAAAATGCCGTGTTGAGAGAGAGTTAAGTCAGCTTAGACCTGGAATCGGGAGGGTCCGGAGTGGTGGTAAGGGTGAAGGGGGAAGCAAGGTGCGCGTATATAGAGAGAGAGAGAGGTAGTTGATGGCTTCGTTCCACTTGGTATTCAAATTTCACCACTGAGTTGTCAACGATGGATTCACTAGATAAATAGGCGAGTAGGTAAAATCAGGCACTCAAGCACCTTCTTTCTCCATACAAAGAAAGACAATCACGACTCCATCTGTGGTGGTTAATAAGTACATAGAGGCTGGTGAGCAAAACGTAAGGCAGTGAAGCGTCATATGGTGCATTTCTTGGAGTTCCTTCCCTACCCGGACGGTCAGAGGGTATGACAGAAAGAGCAATAGTGAGATTGGGATGGGAAAGAGCGAGCAGTCCATCTCCTCGGTCGTCCCTCTTCCCTCTTCTGTCCCCTCTTAACAAACACTATTCGAAGCTGAAAGTGCCTCTAACGGACTGTTCTTTCCCGGCAAAGTATGATAGCCAAAAACACCATCAATCACGCCAATTCAACTTCAGAACTCTCTGTCGTCAAGCTTGGAGTTATAGGCTGGGCTTTTCACGTAGGTGTGACATTCTCAACGCATCTTCTTTCAGGGAACACCAGATCACACTAGCTAGGGTAGTCTATTCTAGTAATAACCCGTCATCTGTACATGTAAGTCGCCCGTCACATCGTGTAGACGGCTATGTGGGTCGTAAAAAGCCGAGGGTAGGTATCTTGTGGTCTAAGGGGAACGAATGGCTTAGGACAATTAGGACATAGTTGAAGAACCGTGAGTGGGTGGGGGAACGAGGTGATGAGTGGTTGTGTAGTAAGTGGTATGTGGACGGCTGGTGACCGGTTACTAAGTAGAGGCATGGAATAGAGAGAGAGAGTGTGTGTGTAGTGAGGGGGTTATTCTGAAAGGGTATTAGTGAGGTACTAATGTATGTCCGGAACAAAGTTTAAAGAATGCTGATGCCATGCTCACCCGCTCCGCCCGTTCACCCGTCTCACTCACTTTTCACTTGACATGAGATAGACCACACACTGCACCGACTGTAAGCTTCTTACTGCTTCACAACCTTGAGCATGTGTGTGTTAGTGTGCGGCTTATAGCGGATCTTCCAGATCTCTAGATTCGATACATTTGTGACAGGAAAGGGATCAGATGTAACTTCTGTTGTCTGGTCGGAACTCAGCATGCTTTCTTCTAGCCGACTCGTCAGCCAACAAAGTCTCTGCTGCCCCTTCCTTCCAAGTTATCCACCGTAAATAACAGCAGAAATGCTGTACATCGAGACACTGACGAAGCAAGCCTTCCAAGGGGATGCCATGGATGAACCTCGGAGCATCCAGGCTTGCAGCTGACATAGTGCGCAATCACATTTTGATGACCAGAGTTTCAGCCCATCCCATCCCATAAAATGGCACGGAACTAGTATGGCTCAACACAAGCACATCACACCATTTTTTTTGCCAGTCGGAACGCAGCGGCAAAGGAGACGCAAAGGCAGATATTAGAGTAGAGATAGACCATGGCACACAGTACACACATACACACTCAGACGACCATAAGGAAGGAGTTTCTCGGTACATGGCATGCCGACCCGACCCGAGACACAGATAGGTAGTAACCAATCCCCTCCCCCATCATTTCAATTGCATGGCCGACCAAAGCAAGGTTAAAAAATTGGACTTTGATGATTCGTCTTGTTTCTTTCTTTCTTTCCTTCCAAGGAAAGGATAAGGGGAAACAGATCTTTTGCTGTCGCTTCGTTCGGTATTCAATCAGAAAGGTCTGTCCGTTTCAGCCCAGGAGCGGGATGCTGGGGTACCTGGCCTGGCACACTGGGTGGGCGGCGTCATCTTCGCTCGCCATGCCATTCATTGGCAACGCATGGATGGCTTCTCTCAGGGACCGCTGAATGCAGTTGATCAGCGTACTCCGTGCAGCTGGGATCTTAAGCGTGATGCAGATTTATGTAGGTTACTTATTACCCCAGGCAGGCCCCGGAACACGCTACAACTTGGGGTGTAAATCATGCTGCTGGTTTTACAAGTAAAATCATAGCCAGTCTGCTGTATGTGAGAAGCGTGTATAGGTTCTGCCTTGCCAAATACGTGAGGATAAGCCGAACACCATGGCGCTTCCATCGCTTCAACGCTGACGATAGACACCGGCGGGCCCGCACTGAGGTTAGAATTTGTACGTGCCACAATGCATGGTCATGGTAGTAACTTTAACCAACAGGCTTCCATTCCGGAAAGAATTGGTCAGCATGGCTAATGAGGAGTGAGGGTTACACGGCTACCCCGTGGAGTTCTTGGGAGGCACGAAGTACTAGGTAGTTTTGTGGAATATAGATTGACGTACGGCCCTGCTAGCAAGCCGGTGACAAGTGTACCTACCTGTAGAGTTGCAAGCTTGAACCATGAATGATAGAGAGAGAGAGAGAGAGAGAGAGAAGGGGGGGGGAATCGCTCTGGCTCAAAAGGGGGGATCGGATGCATTATCTCCCACCGGCTTGAGGCATTGTACCGGGAAGCAACCCTGCGTTCCCCCATCATGTCTATTTGGAACCTGCACATTGATTAAGTGCCTTGGATCTTGAAGGAGGGAAGGGGATGGAGGGAGAGGCGGGATGGCTGCCAAGTTATGTCCTCCAGGAAGAATAGCACATTCTGCAGTGTTGCTTGCCATAGTTCAGGCCCGGCTTTCATTCTTGATTCTCAGTAGGAGCTCGGAAGGACATAGTCGTAGCTGGGTAGGAACTGAGGAGCGGGAAATTGGGAAGTGACTTCTTGGTGACAGTCCAGGCAAGGCACGCGCCAAAAGACCCAATCGCACATGATGCAAGAAACGCCGAGAGGGAACATGGCCCTGTAACGATGCACACGAGTCGAGAAGACAGGAATTTGTGCGTATGGTCATGCGGAGAGTCTGCTTTGTGTTCAAGGTGGGCGGGGAAATGGCTACGACTTATAGCAAAAGAGACTATAGCGCCAACGTGTTGGTCAGCGGAGGAAAGGTTGAGAATATGCCCAGATCTATATGAGAGTGACGATACCTTCACCGGTCTTCATATCCGACCTTCATCGAACACACCAACTTTGCTCTCACCCGCCCGCGCTTACACCTGGGAGCGTAGGAGTGAAGGGGACATAAGGGAGCTATACCCTATACAGCACCAAGGCCGTCTTTGAGAGGCCTTGGCTTTGAGGGATGGTCGAGACGATGATCATGATGAGCTTCCGCATCCTTTGCGCGCTCGCGCCGTGCCAAACGGGATGTGGCGTTTTTAATGAGCCGTCACTTGTCGAATTGAATTGCATCTCGGCCACTCTGGCGGCACAGGATTTCAAGTTTTAACGGCTCCCACACCTCTCTTCCACTGCCGTCCAGCCGTTTGCGTAATCGTACTCCTATTCAGAAATGCTCATCGTCGATCTGGCTTTGAGGAGAAGCAGATGGGAGTGAGGCTCCGAGAATTGCACAAAGACGGCAGATCCAGGGTGGCGACCACGGTTCGGCATGTCTTGACGATTCAGTTCATTGTATCCATAGAGGTAGTGGAAGTGTCCGTCGCCTGTAGCATCGAGAATCATCTGAATGTGATCAGACTTTGGATGCTCCTACCTCGCTAGGTGAGAGCTGTAGCCTTTTGAGACGAACACCCGATCGGCCGACCCGGGCCCCGTAAGTAGGTCCCCACCGAAAACTAACGTGGAACCCACCATACCTGGCCCTGGTGCCCCGTGCGCACTTGGACAGGTACAGTATCCTTTTTATGGTAGAATGCCCGTGTACTAGATTGATATTGCTTCCACTTCTAGAGGTTACGGGCACGACGGGACACAAGGGCTATTGGACTGATAGCAGGCTCCTACCTATCTTACCTGAAACAGTTGATTAATTGGCTCAGCTGTGTCTTGGCAAGAAATACTAATACCTACGTTTTACCGTCGAAGGGATGTACGCCAAGATGCGGTA